TTGACCCCCCGAGCCCCCCGGGAATTGCGCCTATGTTCGTAAGTGTTTATGAGCTTCTCTTTGAATTGTTTGTTCTCATTAGCTCCAGACCGAAACAGCCAAGGGAGCCGCATACCGCAATTAATGAAGCATTAAGCTCGTTTTAGCTGCCTGGGAGAGGGGGACCAAAGCAGGGTTCACTCAGAGGACTAAACCTCGCTTTAAATTAAAAAGCGCTCGTGGTTTTCACTGTTTTCGTTCAAATAACAACCGTTATTCACCGGTGATTGTTTGATAAAAACACCTTCAGGCACCTCAAGTTTACCCAGGTGAGTGCGCGTGACTAAGCTAAGGGAGACGGTCTGTTCCTTATCATCACTCTGTTGGGGTGGGGGAAAAAAACAAAAAAAAATTGGTGTGGAGCTTCGGCGTGAGTCCAGTTATATCAGCAGCAGCCTTTAAAAAGCCTCCCAGCTCACCGGTGGAGGTAGAAGTCAGCCAGCAGCGAGGGACACGCATCTCTGCTTCCTACTCTGACGTCGCGGGGACACAATGGAGATAAATTACCCCACAAACACCAGAAAATCCAACAGGACGGCATGGTGCAGTATAAAGGTAAGGGTCGATGCTGCCGTTAAAAAGTGGTGTTTTAACCCGCCTCACTCTCACGCTCGTTGTTTATATAATTGTTGAACATTTTTATTTCGTTTGAGAATTGCTCAACTCAATAGAGTCAAAGTCTAACTACACATGTCGGCTCACATTTCCCTTCATAAACCTTCTTGGACCGACCTGAGAGTCTCTCTGACACTCTTTAACAAGTGCAATGTTGTGTTATTTCCTCCACAATGATCTGATATAAAGTTATTTAAATCCAGTTTATATTCTGAATTTTTCTGTCATAAAGACCTGGGTTTTAAAATAAATGTTACTTTTTAAAAAGCTACATTTACTCCACTGGGATTAAAAAAAAAATAACAATGAGCGAGCGAAATCATAATTCTGACCTCCTTATTAAAACTTGCATTGGCCATAATTCTGACTTCCATATCTCGAAAATATGATTATCTCATATTTATGATATGTTATGATAGTAAATTACATTTGTGCTCAAAGTAATTAGGGTCCAGTATCTTGAAACAGATTAATATTTCTTCCCGATGGCCTGGCAACCACCTCGCCCAGTGACCTCTAAAAGTAAAGGTAAAAAGATAAAGGTAATTTTATTTATATAGCACATTTTCAGCAACAAGGAAATACCAAGTGCTTTACAAGAATTAAAAAAAAATACAAACAAAATAAACCAAAGGGAAGAGCAAAAGATGAGAAGCTAATAATGTTGATCCAAGGTAAATAAACTAGATACTCCTATTCAGGGTTGGTAGATAAGTATAAGTAAGTATCCTCTGGTCTAATTCCTTTTCTGGTTTGGAAAAATAGGAGTCTAAAAAGTAGTTGCTAAGGTAGTTTTAATGGATTTCAAGTTCTAATCCTTCTTCTGGGTTGCTAAATAAGTATAAGTAAGTAATTATCCTCTGGACTTCTGGGATGCTAGATAAGCATAAGTAAGTAATCTCTGGACTTTCTAAGTGTGCTCTAAATTTACTCCACAGTTTCTAAGTAATAATAAAAACTAAATGTTCCTGTTCTGGAAGAATTTTTCTGGACTCTAAGTTCGTTCTAATTCTTTTTCTGGGTTGTAATAATAGGAGTCTCTCTGCATCTAAATAGTGAGTACTTTACAGCTTCTAAAAAATAAGCTAAAGAGTGACTAATAAACTAGAGTCTCTGGACTCCAAGTTTGTTCTAATTCCTTTTCTGGGTTAAAAGTGAGTACTCCACTGTTTCTAACAAAATAAAATAAAAAAGAGGAAAGGACACATTAGGGCAAATGGCAACATTCAGACAAAACAAAGGGCAAACAAAGACATGAATGAAGGTGGTGACATCACAGGGTCGTGAAACCACGTTGCTCAGCCTCCCGGCAGAAGTCCAATAAGATGTTGTTATCAAGGCATGGCCTTGGGAGCACTCAGCTACACAGCTGCATGGATAACAGGAGGGGGTGAGGTGGGAAGGAGCATTATGTGTACATATCTTCAAGGAGATTGGAAATATGCAGCCCTTTCTAGGCAACACGGGGAAAGTCAATTCAGATACAGAATGTCTTCGATCGGGTAGATTATAAATTTCAATCTCCCCTAAAGTCTCTCCGATACATCTCAGTTCTCAGTTATCCAAATTAGTTTAGTCGTTCCACTGAACTGAAACTAGCAACTTCTCCAAGATCAATTCCATCCCGCTAGTGAGTTTTTGAGTCCTCAGCTGGGCTGCGAGTCTCAGCAAGACTCGCATCCAACTTGCGTCTCTGTCCACACCAACAGTCTGAGTATTCACTAGTTCGGCCAAGTCCGTCACAAATTTGTCGATAAGCCAGGAATCCACAAGCGCCAAACAGCAGAAATCCTGTTATCATGAATAAATCCAGGGTGAATCCTGCCGGGTGTGTCCCCACAGGACAAGAGGGCTCTCCTGTGCCCGGTCTTCTCGTCGAGAAAATTTGATCAATTGCATTGAGAGATCGGTTGACCAGATCCATTGTTCAAGCAATAGCAGTGCAGAGTTTGATATGTGAGGTTCATTGTGTGAAAAACTGGTGTCAAAAAAAGTTTATTGGTGAGTGGGGAACATAAAAACAAGTGCCGTAAATGATTGGCTGCTTAAGTAAACGTAGCTTTAAAAGAAAGTCAAAACCAGAAATATGAAATATAATGGAAAACTACCATCCCAGTGGAACAAAAAATACAGCCAACGATCAGCTACAGGGTGAAGGGGTGTACTGATACGATACCAATATCCTATCTTTGAGTAATCCCCAATGTCAATATTGACGTGATATATCAGCACAAATCATACGTACTTTCATGACTTATTCTGAAGAGTGGAATGTTAGAAAAGGCTTGATCATGTAATATTACAACAGTCAGCGATAATCTGCATGAGAACAACTCACCATTTACCAGGCGGACTAAATGCCAACTCTTAGATGCAGACCGATATAGACTCGGGAATCAGTATCATGCACATTCTCCATGAATGTGGAGATGTTTACTTATGCTAGTTATCTCACATCAGAATGACTGTATCAAAATGCTTGAAAACATCATGTTGCTATCTCTCAAACAGGAAATTTCCTTATAAGACCACTGCCTGAAGCTCAACAGTTAGTGAGCAGGTTCTTCTTTCCAGATCAAAAAAAAGCCCAAAGTCACTAAAGAATTAGTGATCTTGATAATTGTGGATACAGCTCATAATTATGATTTTTGTACCTAGTAATTAATAGTCGTGGTCGTAAAAAAAAAAAAAAAGAAAGAGGTTCTAAATACGAGACAAGATTTTTCTTTATGTCCGTCAAAGTGGCAGAAATGGGCCTCCATAAGATCCAGCTATACATAACCAGGATAAGTAGTTTTTGTGTCTGTGGAATTTCAGTCATCTTCTAATGGCTTTAACCAAAGGGAAGTGTTGACAGCTTTGTCTTATCTTCTTCCAATAAGAACTGAATCTCCCCAGTCAAGACAAAGATGTTTCTGTGTTCAACAGGGGCATCCGCATCCATTTTTGGGGAACTTTATGCGCCTCCGTTTGTTTTACTACAGCCTTTGAGAACTAACCGGAGGGAGAAATGTATCTATATCCACTACGTGCCAAAAGGAGATTTCTTTTTTTTTTTTTGAGTCATTGTATTGCAACAATGGATGAGAAACTCTGCGTTCCAGGACTCTGGGTAATGATGGAAAGGTTTGTTTTGCACTTGTTACTTTCAAAACATGATAAAGAAGTGACTTGTCTCCAAGCAACACCTTTGACTTGGGGCTATTTCAGACAGTAGAAACGCTTCTATCGCCAAAAGAAGAAGAGACCATTTAAAACTGAAATCTGACTACATCCGACAGTTTTTTATGTTTGGTTATCCCTCCTGCCGTATCAGGTTCTGTGCTCGAAGGAACCCTCTGTTGAAGCAGTGATGTATACATGTGGGTGGATGGGAAGTCAGTGAAACAGCGAGGGTCAGCATAGGGTCATGATCTTGTCAGTCACATTGGGTGTTCCTTATGAACTTTTGCTTTTATGTAGTCAGCATGAATCCCCTTCCAAGCCCCTTCCAAGGTATATTTAGATAATGGGAGTAGTTCAAAACAAACCGACTAAACTGCAGGCGATTTGTCAATCTGTTCTTATTTAAGTGATGAGATGGCACAAGCCGCATGAAAGACAGAACTCCTACTGCAGCAAACAAGACGTTGGTAGTTTTCCTCCGCTTGAATGCAAATACTGTACAACTGGACAACAAAGGTGACACAAACTACTCGTATCCATTCATCTTTCTCTTGGCACATGTTCAAGCAGAACTGTAAAAGCCTTTACTTTCTACTTGCTCAGGTTCATGAGAGCACCTGGTTTGTTTATGTACTCTTCTCTGCTTTGAACTATTTCTGCTGGCTACACCTTGTCCACACTCAAGTCGGAGCCTTTAACCCCTGAAGCTGGAGGCTATTCTTTAAAAATTTCCATCTGGACAACTCCTCTCCTGCTCTTGAGCAACATATGCCATCTTGTAAGCCTTCTTACGTGTGTTCCCCCCCCCCGCCCCCCTTCTGGCAAACTCCACATCCAAGAGGAAAGTTCAGTCAGATGTGACACAATTGTTCTGAAGCGTAGAAACTTTTGCGTTCATGTAAATCATAGCATTATTGGTGACCTCATCAGCACATATCTCACACTTGGCAACCTGTAAAAAGTGTTTCCAAAGAAATCAATGCACTTGTGTAAATGTAAATAAAAGCAGAATGCAGTGGTTCATTGTACGAACTGTTAACACTGTGGAAATGCAACAGTTTAACCGAGACGTTTTGAGTTGATGTCCCGCTCAACTTCAGTGCCTTGTTTACATTTTGTCAAACTGCAAGTACAGGCTTCAGTCTATTTCCACAGCTCATATAGGAGAATCTGATGGCAGAAAAACCAACCACAAATCTTTAATGGAAGAGTGACGAGAAATTGAAAGAACGGCGTTAGAAGTCCTGTTGGTAGTACACAGCACACACAGCAAACCTGAAGGGACTCTGCTTGCATGAGATCAGAATTAAATTTTTGCACAATTTATTTGCAAAACACCAATTGATGTTTTCTGGCCAATCTCCAATCTTTAAAAAGTCTGACCTGCTGATTCTAATTTTGGTCGATGTTAATCTTTTTTTGTCTGAGAACTCGACAAATGTACCAACAAAGTTGCCAAGTTGGTAACAGTGGGGTGACCGTTGTTAACTGCACATATGTGGAAGTGAAAACAAAAAGAATAAAATACCTTCAGGCCTTTGTAGAGGTAGCTAAGGTTAGTGAATAAAGTCAGCTTCACATATATCCATTGACCGATTGACAATCTCTCAACATTAAGAAACTCAGAGATGATAAATTGGTTCCAGGGCAGCAGATTTACAGGTGCTCCCCTACAAAACACTACGCATTGGGAGAAGTTAAAGCCCTCTGCTGTGAAACATGGTGGTGGAGGTATCATGCCTCGGACTGGTTTTCTTCAGAGTTACTACAACAAACCTGACTGAGCTTGAGTTAATTATCAAAGAAGGGTTAAATCTTTCAGTCTCTACATGTGTATTGGCAGCTGTGGTGAAAGGAGATTCCACAAAGTTTCTACTCATAGTGGTAAATTCAAATTAAGACTCATTGATCAGATTTTAATGTATAAAAATAAAAAACAAAGATATTGTAAAACCCCAATAAAATGGGTTAAAATCATAGGACATGACTTGACAACGTGCAAATGACTAACATGGCTTTAAACGACTAAATAAGCAGACAGTTCAACACTTGATGAAATTTTCTGAGATTCTGAAGAAACACGTTTCTTAAACATGTAGAAGACGCAGAAGTGCAGCAGAATTTTCAGGAACATCCTTTAGGATGAGTTACGGTGAAGGACACCACAGGGGTTTGCAAGTATATCATTTGGGTTGCTTTCTTATTACCATATTTATTTATTTACCATGTCTTATTGGCTCAGTCAGACACAGTGTGATGATATGAGGGCTGACGTAGTTGAATCAAAGACACCAGTTTCCACCCAGATGCACCTTCAATGTGCCATCAGATGAAATCTCAAAAGAGATTTTTTCAAAAGACATTTTTTGAAATCTCTTTTGAGATTTCATCTGTCTCAAATTTTGTGATGACTATCGCTGACTCAACATGTTACATTCCCCAGTTTAAAACGGATGCTTCCGATACGAAGCCGAGCTACGTTGCTAACTTAGCTTGTAACTGTTGCCTTTGAATCTGAGACACTGCTGCTTTGTTGTGTTCAGGAGGCCTTTGTGCGGCCAACCCATTTGCTCACAATAGAAGAGAGGCAATCCTCACCTCACATGCTGCTTTGTCTTTGTTGCAGTTTTTAAAGAAGTAGCTCAGGGTTTTTGTTACGAGAAAAAAAAACAACAACAACAATAAATATAAATCTGTGACATCAGCTCACTCTCTTAAATCAAAGTGATAGAAAACGTCTTGTGAACTTCCTGCGATTCTTCCCTTCTCAGCAGGTTGAAGTCAAGGACAATGTCAACCTGACAGTGAGTTCAAAAGGACAACTGTGGACAAAATGCATTGAGTATGCTGCATTTATACAAGTACATCTCAACAAATAAGAACATTAGTAAAAAGTTCAATTATTTCTGATCTGCAGTTTTAAACGAAAGGTTCAGTTGGGCTGAAATGATTTATCGCCATTAATCAATTATTGAAATAATTGTCAATTAATTGTTAACTGGAGTAGCTGGACTGAAAAAAAAATAATTTAGTGAAAAAAAATTAGTTAAGCCAAAACTCTGCAAAAAATAGATACATTTTGTAATTAAGATTAAACTATCGTTGTCTGTAAATATGTTTTAACCAAACTCCTCGGGTGGTAGAGTTTTAGCTCCACCCGGTTCAGATTTACTGTGATGCTGTTGCTATTCCAGGCAATAAAATGTTTATTTTCTTATTAATGAAAGGAATTTAATTATTTGTTTGCACATTTTTATATGTTTCTAATATTATATCCAAAAGGCTTAAGCAGTTTTTAAAAAATCAGCTAATCTGTGGCATTTTTTATTTGATTAATCAATTACTAAAATAATTGTGAATTGTCGCAGCCCTATTAAATAGATTAATCACACACAGAATGAATAAGACAATTTCTAGAATTTATTTCTGCTAAATTTGATGACAAAATGTTAGATTAGAACAATAAACGGTACAGAAATGTTTCCACTGAGTACTTGGTCAAGGCTGCTTTTGGATGAAAAACTGTATCAATGTGGCGTAGCATGGAAGCTAACAGCCCGTGGATCTGATAGCCGTATTTTGTCCATTTTTATTAGTCTGATTTAGCAGTCTAATCTTCTTACTAACTTCAACCCATAATCATCAAAGACAACAAACACTTCAGATATGAAGGGTTTGTTTCCTTTTTGGATTAATTTACTGGAAAAAACAAACATTTGATGATGATATTCCTAATTTACTGAGATGTATTCTGGTTTTCTTCTTTTGTATCCTCCCTGAAGGGAGCACATCCAGCGTGTGTTCAGTGCCGGTCTGTGTGTGTGTGTGCCAAATTATGTGAAAAGCTGATCATTTGCTCTGTTTGCTTAACTTGTTGCTTTATGTTTCTTCATCAGGAAGTGTAAATAATATCTCATATCAATCTAACATTATGACATTAAGGATAATAACCTTTTTGTTTATTTTATTAAACACTAGGTAATTTCTCAATGGCAAAAGAGATGTTTTCATAGAATATGTGTAAAATTAAGACAGCAAAGACTAAAGTGCGTTTGAGGTTGGATTTAGACTTTTTGTCATGATCTCAAACTCGAACAAAAGACATTCTTTGCCTCAATCAGTAACTACGTCCTGTTGAAACACTCAGACAAGTGAAGGCCGCTTGATAGGAAACGAGGATGAAATATTAGCAACACTGTACAAGCATGTATTGTGCGTGCTCACAAACCAGAAAGACGAGTTTTAATGGGGGAATTAACTGTTCTGAGGGAGCTGCGTAGTTTATTGTCCCCTTGTCCACCTGGCAGTTTGCTAAAGAAAGATGAAATCTGAGATTTATCCCTGTTTTCATTGCAAATTCTCCTCTAAATCTCCTCACATATCTTGAGCGTCACTGGGACGTTCACGCGGAGGTTCTGTGAAGCCCTCAGAGCAGACCATGGCTCCTTTTCCAAATCTCTGGGAGTCCAACCAGCGGGCGACTGGGTTCCTTACACAGCTCTCGGTGTGAAGAGAGAAGTGCAAGAGACAAGTCATGTAAACAAACGGAGACATGGACTATGTAGAGTAACGAAAAGCTGAAGGTTTGGCAGACATCGGGTCCAAAACGTCGTTACATAGCTCATTATTGCTCCGTAAGAGGTGTGCGGTTTAGATGTTTTGGAAAACATGATTATTTATTTTTTTGGCCCCGCTCCTCAACTATTTATTGTTTTTGCCAGGCTTCTTACAAATTCATCTGCTGAAATGAGAGAGGATAGCTGACTAAATGAACCCCAGATCCCCACAGCAGAACTACCTGTTGGGCTAAGAGTTACATAAATGGATGTCAGCCTTGAGCTGACTCTGGCCCAAAGAAGACTCTCCTGACTTAGCTTTAATAAAAACTGTGAGATTAACAGAAAAAGTAAAAAAAAATAAATAAATAAATTTACATGCTTTTCAAAGTATCGAAGTTTATAGTCAGATTAATAAAGACTGTAAAATGCCATGAAGGTCCTGTGTGTAATAACTTGCGACAAAATTTTCCACTTTCAAAATAGCAGGTACCCAAGTAGGTGAGTATATGCGGCGTTGTTCCTTGGAATAGGATTGAAACTTCTTAAGGGCAAAAAGTTTTAATTTTTTTGGGTCTGCAGCAACAAGATATCCTACATTACAGCTGCTTCATAGAACGTATTGATGCTGCAACTGTAAGTAGCTTAGCTTACAGCAGTGCTGAGCCTCCTTTGTTTATTAAAGTTTTGTACTTACAAGAAAGATAAATTTGGCTTTTTGTGAAAAAAATGTTTACCTTTAAACAAACTCTAGACATCACTGTTAAAGTATCACTGATTAAAATCTACAATTGGCAAGCTAGTACAGAAATCTGCAGACTAGCTAGCTATACTAGATAGCTTTACTGTGTTTGCAGCAAATATAAGCTTGGTTTAAACGTCTTATTGTACAAAAAGCTAGCTGCACAGTTGGTAGCACTGTTGCCTTGCAGCAAGAAGGTTCTGGGTTTAATTCCCAGCCTGGGGTCTTTCTGCATGGTGGGTTCTCTCCAGGTACTCTGGCTTCCACCCACAGTTCAAAAACATGACTGTCAAGTTAATTGGTTTCTCTAAATTCTCCCTAGGTGTGAGTGTGCATGCATGGTTGTCTGTCTCTGTGTTGCCCTGTGGTGGACTGGCAGCCTGTCCAGGCTGACCCCGCCTCTCGAATGTTAGCTGGAGATAGACACTAGCAACCCTCCCAACCCCACTAGGGACAAGGGTGTATAGAAAATGGATGGATTGTACAAAGACCAGAACAATAAAACTGTGAAATATTTAATGCAATAAGCTTCAAAGAACCACTGCATATTTTAGTGGGTAGGCTATATATATTTTTGCTTTAGGTCAACACTTGAAAAAACATAATAGCTAGCTAACCAGTAGTATGCTGTAACTGGTGTGGGGCAGAGATTGCAGTATGTTTAAGGTTGTTTTTAGGTTTAGGTTTTTAATCCTTACATTTTAAAAATTATTATATACTTTGTTACTGGAAACTGGCTGCCTACCATTAACAATATAAGCTGTAGGTTCAATATTTTTCCTGGGGGAGAGTTTATCAAAAAGATTATTCTTTGGATGAAACAAGATATCATTCCATCCTGCAATAAGGATGGGTCACTGCTGGGAGAAATTGTAAATGTTGATATGAAAGGAAAATCAAACATGATTTCAGGAGCAAAGTCCTTAGGGAACATTGGACCAGGAATGACATCCGCACCTATATTTACCTACATCAGCAAAAACACTTCATAGAAACCGTGAACGGAGGAAGGCTGATTATTTGAGCCTCCTTTGAAGCAGCAGAACCTCAAACACTTTGTAGTCACTGAACTTCTGCGTGCACTAAGCTATTTTTGATAACTCCATGTTCCAGACAGACAGAGGTCTTCTCTTCCTCCCTCTCTGACTATGACAGCATTACTATTTTTTTAACCACAATATAGAGACTGTAGCAACATCCTGTCTATCTGTCTCTCTGTCTGTCCTAGCTGTTCGTCCTGTGTCACGGCTTCCTGCAGCTCTCACAGCTGCTCTACAGCGCCTACTTCAGGAGCACCATCTCCACTATCGAGAGGCGCTACGGCCTCAACAGCTTCTCCTCTGGAACCATTTCCTCTCTCCATGAGGTAGGAGCCAAAAGCAACATCTCCTCATGAGTTGTAGGACTGAGACAGTGTGATCTTTCAGGGATACTGACGACAAAAGAGGAACTGAGGTGCAAGCAAGCAACACAAAGTCACATTCCCTGACATTTCAGATGGCGATATTGTATTTGAGAGACACGCATGTCAAGAGTAATGAGAGAGTCTGCATGTTCTCCCTACGAATCCCTCAAATATGCTTTTAATTTGTCTTCGATAAATGACCTGCGGTCAGGAGTTACAAACCATGTTGCCATGTTGACGTTATCTGAGTGTTTGCTTTCAGCATTGTGTTATGAAACCAGACCAAACGAGGCCGGAACATTCCATCTCAGTTCACGCTTTGGTTATGCAAAGCCACCTTAATAATGTTTTTGTTGAAATAATGGATCAAATGATTATGTGTACTTGAAGAGAGACGTCATCCATCACATCTGCATTTTCTGTCTTGTGTGGGTTATAGATCTGACTGGTTTGCTTCTCTGGTTGTGGTTCAAAGGTCAGCAACTGCATCCTGATTGTGTTTGTGAGCTACTTCGGCAGCCGGGTTCACCGTCCTCGCGTCATTGGCGTCGGCGGACTGCTGATGGCCGTCAGCGCCATGCTCCTCACCTTACCTCACTTTCTGTCGCAGCCCTACACACACGACTCGGCTTTGCAGAGTAAGAACCAGCTGCACGCGTAAACAAACACAAAGCCGCATGACGTCTGTCGGTGTCGAGTGGGTCCAGACCAGGGAGCTCACGAGTGTATGAACATGTCAAAGCAACTTTGGGTTTGCCTACAACACCAACAGCTTCTTAAGTGGACTCACCAAGAGTCTACAAGGTCCACTAACCCTCTTAAGTTGAACTTTAACAAACTGAAGGAACATTCATAATCTCTATGCTAAAAGCTACGAAGATTAGAGTCACCCTCAGGGTATTTCATTAGCAGTAACAGAAGCCTCCTTCTGATTTTTCATTTTACCTCATACTAATTATGTTGGATTCAGCAGAGGGCCAGAGAGGCTTCAGGGAATTAAAAATGTGCAGTTTCCCTTCATCAAACATCACTACTTGTATTTTATTTTTTTTGTACATCTTTCTTCTGATGTTTGACTATGTGTGTCTGCCTACTGCAATTCAGAGTTCCACGACCTGTGCATCCCACACAACACCACCACCAGCCCGGAGTCATGTGGTCGTGAAGATACCAGGCGCCTAGCTGACACCACGCTGGTGTGGATACTTATGGCCATCGCTCAGCTGCTGTTCGGCGTGGGCTCTGTGCCCATCCAGCCCTTTGGCATTTCCTACATTGACGATTTTGCAGGAAGTAAAAACTCCCCTCTCTACATAGGTGAATAACCTGCAGTTCAGAGATACAGGAGAAAATGGAGATGAGTTCAAGGGTCATGTTGTTGATACAGCGCTCTGTAAAAGTATTCTCCTTCAACTTCCTCCTATTTTCTGATGTTACAACCACAAGCCAACACTTGCTAGTGCATAATTGTGAAGTGGAAGAAAACTGATATGTCATTTATTCTTAAAAATTACGAGCTAAATAATTTGAGTTAATTTATGTAACCATGTTTCTCTGCATTTACAGCTTCAAGTCTTTTCAGCGTATGTCTTTACTAGCTTTGCACATCTAGAGACTGAAACAGTTCTTCACTTTTTCATTCAGAGGTCTGAACTTTAACACTCTCTATACTTTAATTTAGATAATGTCATTCTAGCTTTGGCTGTATTTTCAGTGTTCTTGTTCTTATCTTGTCTTTTTTTGTTATTTTATTTATAGGTATCCATTTAGTGTTGGGCATTTATCACATTAACATTTATTGTGACAAATTTCCAACTATGATCAATTTCATTTGTTGTTGTCATAATAAATTCCTGTTAGTGACATTTAACTCCCCCCAAAACTGTCAGTATTGTTGAGACCAATAGTTTTACTACTGTTCTCCACTATTTGTTCAATGAAACCATTAATAGATATCAACAAATTTGAAAATATGATTAAATGCGGATACAATCTGCAGTTTGATTAAATAAATTGCACGTCTTTATGTGGCAGGTGTCCTTTAAAGAAGGAATGTTTTTCAAGAGCAGTCTTTGTGTTTGTGGGACTATAATTGCTGACACACAGTTGTAGCCATACGGGTTCTATAAAAAAGAAGTAATAAATGGTTTGTATCATCACCTTTATTATCAGTTAATTTTTAAGTCCATATTGCCCACGTAGATATCCATTCAACAGACTTAAGACATCCAATTTTGAAAACCATGTAAAAATGTATCTTCCACTTCTCAATAATTCACTACTTTGTTTTTTCCACATATTTTCCTTACTACGCCCTGTAGAGGATATGTTTTTTTCTTTAATCTGATTTGTTGCATGAAAGTCTTTCCTGTGAGGAATGTATTTTCTCTGAACTCTGCCCCCTCGTTCACAGCCATCCTGTTTGCCGTGTCTGTGTTTGGACCGTCCCTCGGCTACCTGCTGGGCTCCGTCATGCTTCGGTTCTACGTGGACGTGAACAGAAGTGGCTCTGGTAACGACAAAGTCTTTTAAACACATCCTGCGGTTCATGTAGATTCAGGCTCGGTGTTCATCAAGGCTTCATTGCATTTCGTAGCGACTCAGAGGTCGGTTCTGTTTGTTTCAGGTGTAGTTACGGGGTTGAGCCCCGTCGACCCCGGCTGGGTGGGGGCTTGGTGGATGGGTCTGCTTATCATCACCGGCTTCCTGACCCTCTCCTCCATTCCTTACTTTTTCTTCCCCCGTCAAATGAGCTCTGAAGTAAATGTAAGTGTGACTATGACAAGACAGGTTGTGCATACAGTACTACTGTGATGGATATAGATTTGGCCAAAAGTTTACAAGCATCTTTCTGTTAAAAATGAAAGGATATAAGTGATGATTTTACAGTTTGAAGCTGTGGAAAAAATATTTTTTAGAAAATTGTCAAAGTTCTTTTGTGTTCTTTTACTGACCTCTGCTGGACGTATGTTGACATTACAAGTTGATTCTACTCCAAAACTATATTATTATTACAATTATTGAAGAGAATAAATGAAGAAAATCTGACATACAGAGAAAAATACATACCTACAAGGAAAAATGATGGGTTGGTTCACTATTCTACTGAAAGGTCATGAGCCATTTTCACTTTACTACATTTTGCCGCACATTTTTATCTAAAAGGTTTTATTATATCATTTCACCCAATTATGTACCAATGGCCTTCTTTAAGAGACCCACAGCATCACTAATCCTCCACTATACTGATGAGTGGGTATGAAGTGCTCCATATTTTTTTTCTTCATCACAGCTATCTAGAGTGATTGTTACTGACCAAAATTAAACTTAAAATTTCCAAAACTTATTGAGGAAAACATAAGGCAATTTTGGGGCAATTTTGTCCCGTAGCTGTTGTCAGCATACTGCAAGACAATATCTCCAAACAAAGCAGCTTTTTAACTTTTCCTGATGTTTCAGACAGGATCATCTGAAGCACCTACTGATTAGAACATGGTCATATAATCATAACCTTTCCTTGGGAAAGGAAAGCCGACATAACGTCTCCGTTTGCTCTTTTATAGATGTCGGAGACTGAGACTGACTCAGACGATAACTTACGGGAGAAGGATAGGTCTTTGCTTGAGTTCCTTAAATGTGAGCACATCTTAATTAGATATTAGACACATATACTGACTGTCCACGCTGCATTTTACTGATCAGTGTTCCTGTATTTGTTCTGGCCAGTGTTTCCTAGAATGTTCTTCCACCTGATGTCGAATCCTCTCTTCCTCTTGCTGGTCCTGGCCCAGTGCTGCTTTTCCTCAGTGATAGCAGGCCTAGCTAGCTTCCTTAGCAAGTTCCTGGAGAGACAATATGGGGCTCCAGTTGCCTACAGCACACTGCTAGTAGGTAAGTATGGCAGGAATTTATAGCTTCAGTCAGAATTGTACATTGATGTGTAAGATTGTTGTTAAAGTGGAACTAATGTCCATGTGAAAGCATAACTCAACCCCCGATAATATTTAGCCAAGAGACACTGAGGGGCGTGGCCTAATGTGGCAAAGAGAGGCGGGGTTGTGATCAGGACTGTTGCTGGCTTAGCGACTTTGTTGCTTTATTTGGTGACTTTTCAGACCTGCTAGGAACTTTTTTCAAAACAACAACTAGTGATAATTGTAGTGACTTTTTCTGTGTTATTGGAGAATCTTATTGAGGTATATAATTTTATATCTGAACGGGGGTGTAATGTAGATATCAACCAAGCCATGCCGTTGTAACCAATAGGAAAATTAAACTGAAGGAGGACAGCATTAAGGCTGTTTTAAGACAAATATTGGAGGATTAAACAAGTTTGCATTAAAGCGCCACCATTTGCACTAAAACGTGAAGACAACAAAAAGCCCATTTTATACAGTTTATGTAGTTATTCTTTAATTTGGAGGTTTTAATTATTTATGTGTATCATTTGAGACATTTTTTTCACTCTCCAAACATACTGTCATGGCCAGATAGCTCAATGAAAATGTTAATTTTGAAGCAGATATGGCTTTCTTGGTCTGTCAATTCTACCAAGAAGAGTGGTGAAATATCCAGAAAATGTCCAGAAGCTTAAAATTAATGAGATTCAAGTAAATAGCAAATCAAAGGTTCTAAAAT